AACTTTTAAGCACAAATAAGAGCAAACAAGCCTAGGCTCTGATACCACTGATGGGTTTTGAGCATTCTAACACTTCCTAAGTGTACATGCAACCCTAATAACCTTGGATCTATGTTTGTCTAATTGTCATGCAAAGTTGAATTCCAAGGTTATATTCCTATCTAGCATACATGGGGAACAATTTTAACATAAAGTATAGATAGAATAACTTACCTTGTTGTTGTTTGTGTTCCTTGAAACCTTGTGAGCCTAGCACCCCAAGTGTGATGCCTCAAATGCTTCACACAACACCAAATGCTCTTGGAAGAACTTATGAGAGAACACACACTTCTTCAAAATCGGCCAAGCCCTCTTATTTCTTAGTGTAGCCGATTTTGGTGGAGAACATGTTACTTATATAGTGTTGACACATCTAGGGTTAAACCCTAATGTGTCATGACTCTTCATTTCCATGACCCATGGGTTTGTAACTCCCATGGAGCATCCTATGGGTGGAACCCAACTTGATAGTCCATGGAGCCTTTTAGCCCACTATACAAGATATGGATGATTTACATAATCAACCCATATATTTAATTAGTTATCTTTTGATCACATAATTAATTCTAAATTAATTCTTGATCAAACTAATCAAATAATATTATTAATATATTAGAACTTATAATATATTAATAATCTCCAAGTGTTATTTCTCTCATTTAGTCTATCCAATTGCATGGTGCCATGCAACCCAAATGGACTATGCTGGGTCGGGTCAAGTACATACCAGAAATAGTTATGGACTTAGACACCTTAGCCAACAGTGCTGACCCACCCTGACCGCCCTCTCCTGCTCCCAATCCTGATCCAAATCCGCTCCCAGCATGCCTTATAACCACCATACTGAAAAACACCGCAAACATCAGATACCTCCCACTAACCTGGGAACTGACTCTCAACACCTCCCTAGGGGTTGTGACTTCCTTGATACGCGTATGGGTTTTGTGCTTTCAGTAGTACAGGCCCATACTACCTTCCAAACCTATACATATTTATACCAAGTATCACCACAACACCAAAGAGAAGAACATGCATACCAAGCACTCAACGCTCACTCCTAGAGGAAATCACTGAAAATCTCATACAGAAAGAAACCCTAGGCTAGCAGGCATCACAAATCAGGCCATACTATCATGCAATTCCTAGAGATCCCTAGCCTAGTACTAGCATGTTGTTCTATCATAACACATAAACATATAACTTGCATGGTATTTTGGGGCTACTTACTGGCTCTGGCTGATCGTACCTCCGCATCCTCTTTTACTCATTTTGAAAACCATTTTAAATTCTCTTTTGAAAACTCTCCTTGATTTGAGACTGGATTCACACAAATGTTCCTCCAATTCACTCAAACCAAGGCTCTGATACCAACTTGTAACACTCTAAAAATTCAAGCCAATTTAAACTTTTCAAAAACAACCCAGTTTCGTTAAATTATTACAAAAAGGTTTTCAATACAATTATTATCAGAGTCTTCCCAGAACCATATCGTAAAACATAACATGAGGAGCGGTACGATCACACCTTCGCCTTGCCACGGTCACCTGAAGTACCTGAAAAACATTAAACCACAACTGTAAGCCCGAAAGCTTAGTGAGATACCCCCAAAATAGCAACCACATATACCACGCATAACATATCATAACCGAATAGAACAGCCATGCACTTCGGGTCTACTATGTGACTGGTCCGCCGCACCGGGCCTTCAGTCCACCTGGTCCACCCTCCGAGTCTAGCCATATCCCTCGAGTTTGTAGTGTGGCTGGTCCGCCTGCACCGGGCCTTCAACCCACCTGGTCCACTCTCTGAGTCTACAATATGACTGGTTCGCCCGCATTGGGCCTTCAGTCGGCCTGGTCCACCCTCCGAGCCTCGGTACGTCTGGTCCACCCCCATTGGGCCTACAACCTATCCGGACCGCTCGCTGGGCCTTCGGAATAACCGGTCTGCCCTGGGTATGTTGGCCTACAACACAAACCAGGACCCGCCTCAACCCAACCTCCAATCAAACAACCATGTGCACATAAATATACAACCACGTAACAATTCATATCCAATCAACCCGATCTAGCAGATCACATAACATAACATACTCTAAACAGGATACCGACCTAACCGGTCACTAGCATAGCATCATCCTTTATACCAGGATACCGACCTTAACCATGTCTCTAACATATACCATCCTAACTACCAGGATGAAAACATAGCAAAGTAACAACATAACAACGATACCCGAATTATAATTCGATAAAGGGCCGACCTTGGTTCGTTAGACCCTGTCGATATAGTGAGGAGATCTCACCTTGCAACTGCTGACTGAAAAGATAAGATCACGCTGCTCCAACCTCCGACACGAACTCCACCCCTGGTAATGCCAAAAGACTGAACCCAATAAATACCAAAAATTACCAAAATGCCCTTGGAAGTCAACTGGTCAACTCTTGGTCAAAGTCAAAGTCCTCAGTCAAAGTCAAACTTCATGATTGACCCTACTCGCCGAGTCAGCCCGCTGACTCGCCGAGTCCCTCAATTCTGAAAAAAAAAATCCTATCTCAACTGACTGAGTCATCCCTTGACTCACCGATTCTTAGCTTAACCAGAAAAGGCTAGGACCTCAAGACCAGACTCGTCGAGTCCAAGGCTATTTTCAACCAACTCGCCGAGTTGTTCTTCCAACTCATCGAGTTCCTGCCCACCTTCATGCAACTCGCCGAGTACACCCTTGTGACTCGCCGAGTACCCCTAGATCTTAATCTATACAGAAGTTTTTCAGGCCATGCAGATGATCCAAAACATAGATCTACCCTTATACAACCCATCCATCACGTAAAGTGGCAAACTTTACGTGAATCCAAAGAGATCTAAGAATATAACACTCTACGGTTAGGGTTTGGGACAAGATGGCTTCACCAATCACTCAAAAACAACGAATTTAATGCACTCTAGACCTTCCCCATTCCAGATCTGAGGTAGCAACCCCAGGTCTAACCTCCAAACTCGAAATCTCACAAGCTATTCTTTCCAAATACTCCAAAATGATGAATCTAGATGAATAACAGCCCAAGCAACGAAATAATACCTCAAAAGGAAGCTCCAACAAAAGAGAAATTCGAATCCTAGCAAAGCCCCTTGCTCCAAGCCTCCTAACTCTCCAAGATCTCTTCCAAAATCTCTTCTTCAAGGTTCAAATGCTCTCAAATTACTCACAAACGCGCATTAGGGTTTTCTGGACTTCAAGAGAGGGTAAAAGAGGCTAGGGAGAGGGTATTATGTTCATTATATATGGCTCAACCCCCGGGATTAGGGTTTTCTCCATACAACGCCAACTCGCCGAGTCCACCCATGAGACTCGCCGAGTTGGTCACTTATCACTCGACCTGAATGCGACTCAACTCACCGAGTCTAACCATGGACTTACCAAGTTGCTCTTCCACATTTACATTTTGAACCCTGAACTTGCACCCCTGAACTCAGGATGTTACACAAGAGCCATAAAACTCAACCATCTTCCAGATTTAACATCTATACTACTCAAGGGACACTGGAGATCCATAAAGTTAGCAACTTTACGGATTTCAACCACTACATCATCTTGAATATGAAAGATTAAGCATAAAAACCTAACCCTAAGCTTATGGACTCATAAAGCAATGAACTTGATACTCACAAAAGGTTAGAAGGTATGCAAATGCTTGATGGTGAGACTTGAATGCAGAAATGATGGACTAGATGCTCTTCCTCTTTTTCTCCTTGGCTAAAATCACCACAAATGAGCTTCAGGATCAATTATGGATGTTAGGGTTTCGAAGTGGAGTGTAAGGAGATGATGGAGACCAAGAGTGGGCTAACATTAGCCTTCACATCCTTTAAATACGATAATAAAACCCCTAAAATTAAGTTTTCCCCACAGATAGGTCTCACGTCGTGAGGCAATATGTGGTCACGTCGTGAGCCCTAAAAGTGGTGCGCTTTCTCATTAATCTCCTCACGACGTGACATACATACCTCACATTGTGAGTATGATTTAAGTCTTTGAAATTTTAAATTTGATAATTGCTCATCTGAACAGAATGTTACATCTATCATACTCGATGACAGAAACCCACAATGGAAACCACATAGAAAAAAAAAAGATTGATTCAGTTACAAAATAATAAGTGAGTTTAAAACAAATTAAAAATTGATTTGTAGAAAGTAGAAACAACAATTTCTTTTAAGTTGTTTCTTTAACAAAAGGGTTCCTTTAAAAATATAAAGTACATACGCATATTCTTTGTTTAGCTTTTGTCCCCCATTTTACTCAAAAGGAAGGACAGACACTACCCACTCTACTTCCTATTAATCAATATTGTCACAAAAACCCTTAATTTGCATAATTTGTCGGTTTTACCTCAAATTCATTTTTATATCTATTAATGCCTAATATTTTTGTGGCATTTGTCATAAGTGACTATCCCCATTTCGTTCCACTCATATGAACTTTTAGAAGGAATAATGACACTTCAACCAAATTCAGCTTCAATCGAGGTTCACAATATAAGAACAAGGTCGTAATCTAATGTCGATGTGGTGATATCTTTCCAATTTTCACTTCAAGAACAACAGACACCCTAGGAAGAAGATTTTGGGGTTGCCCTAATTCCCCATTAAATATGTAACAATTTTCACTACAAGACTATCACTTTTTTATTCTTAAACCTTTAAAAGTTTACATACATAATGAGACATCTCACGAAACACGTAACTAGCATCCTCTATAGCAAACATAAATACTGCGACAGAGAGATTACAAACTAAAAATATCTCCCCCTGTCAATATGTGCATATCACCACAACCATCACATTGACATTTATTCAAAAACATAAATAGATAATTTAAACCCTAAACCCAAAACACACACACAAGTGACACGTCATGGAATTCACAAATCATCAAAACCAGATCCACCCAGTTTTTTTTACCCGGACCACCCTCTCGACCCGCCCGAGGAGTGCCCGTTCAACCGGTCAAGCACCACGTTAAAATCAACCGTCTGCCCGGTTTCATCCAACCTCTGAATCACACTCATAACATGGTCGCCTCTGTACCCCATGCTTACCAACTTCTCCACCACTTCATTGTACGGATGATTTGGTGTAAACCGTTGTGTAGGGCGCATAACTTGCTGCGGGTTTTGAGAATAACCGGGTTGTGGGAAATGACCAATTTGGTTTGAATGTTGTTGTTGAGGATGTGGGACCCTTCCCGGTTCGCCATCGTACATCATGTAGCCTGGCGGCGGCGGCCCACCGGCGGCATACCCGTCGCCTGGCGGTCCTCCGAACGCCGGCTTCAGATGCTGCGGTGGTTGCTGTGGCTGAGGCGGCTGCGGCGGTGTTTGGACCGGTCCACCGTACGCGTATGTCATGGCTTGGCTAGAACCGAGCGGTGGACCGCCGGAGTAAGGCATACTTTGCGGGAGTGGTTCAACGGGGCCAGCATTGTGGTACTGCGGGTAGACTTGAGGTGATGACGGTCTGGACCCAGACCCAGGTACAGACCCAGGTTGTACCTGTACCTGGGCCCATTGTGGTTGTGGTTGATACTGTGGCTGTAGCTGTGACTGTTGTTGTGGTTGTGATTGTGGTTGATATTGTGGTTGTAGCTGTGATTGTTGTTGTTGTGGTTGTGGTTGATACTGTGATTGCAATTGTGACTGTGGTTGTGGTTGTGGTACTTGAGGGTGCATATATTGGGCGGTGGGGGTGGGGGGCAGGAGGTAGATAATAGCCTTGTGGTTGTGGTTGGCCCATGGGTTGTGGGGGTCGTTGTGGTTGGGATGCAGCTGGGGGTGGAGGTGGGGGCCACTTGACTGGGTAGGGCTAGGGCTAATTGTTGACTATGTGGATCGGGTGAGTTTTCGGTTTTTTTGGTATCGGGTGTTGAAGATCGCTCCTCATTTTGTTGTGAGTTATGACTCGATGATGATTCTTTGTGTGCAAGTTGAAGTTTCGCTAGTTCCTTTTGAGTATCCGCAAGTTCTTGTTTATCTCTCAAAATTTGTACCGATCTATGTACCTGTATCAATAATCAATACCATAAAAATTGTTCCATCAAATCCAGTAAAACCTGTTCTGTTCTGTTTTGTCCTTGATTAGACGAGACAAGACCAAACTAGCCTGCTTTGATGTCTGTTATGTTTTGTTTTGTCATGACTAGACGAGACTAGACTTGTTCCATCGAATACGGTAATAGTACAATTTGTTTTCTTCTTTTCTGTCTTGACTAGACTAGAGTAGACTACACTAGATAATAGTACAATTTGTTTTTGATGTCATATCAAAGACAATAAAACCTAGATAATAGTGCAATTTGTGATTTGATGTCATATCTAGACTTATGTGATTGAAACTGACCTCTTGAAGATGTTTTTCGAGAAACTTAAGCTTAACATCGGCTTCACCATGATCACGTGTCAAATCAGAACGCATTTCCCCAATTGATTTATCAAGATTGTAGCAATAAAGCTCGAGTTGTGATAGACGTGAACTAAGCCCCTCAAGAAAACGCATAAGATTGTCTGTATGTTTCTTCATGGACCTCTCGACAGCTGAAATAAGCACTTCTTGGTTGCCAGAATCATCAGGTGGACTGTATGAAGAACCAGGGAATACCGATGTTCTTGCCATTCTGCTTTTGTGGAATTCCTGCTAAAAAAATTTGAGTCTAAGACATTAACGTTTTCATTTTCTATCATGGATAGAAAGTAATAATCTGCAATTTTTACCACAATCAAGACTTTAAGCCATACATCAAACTTCGAAAGTTTTATTGCAAAAATCATAGTATTAAGAAGTATAATTTCACTTAACGAACTACCGAAATCATACGATCCTTACTTAGAAAGTTATACCTTCCCAATTCAATAATTATAATCAAAGAAAGCATAGATTGTTCATAAGAAAGCAAATCGAAAAACCCATCTATCAAAAAAACCCTAAAAAGTGAATTAAACATCAAGATTCAAGATTCATCAAGAAGCGATATGGATATAGAGAATCAGAGTTGCATACTTTAGCGGGATTAGTGACGATCGCGGAATCAGAGTGATTTCCGTTAGAACCTTCTTGATTAGCGTAATCTTCGTATGAACAAAGAATATCGTCCGATGCAAAATCAAACCCTTTTGAAGATCCAGAAGCCATCCAGCGAAACAAGATCAACTGAGACCCAAAATTAAGTTACCCAAAAGCAGAAAAACCCTTAAATCAACTAGGGTTTGATGATAATCGAAAAGAAAGATGAGATAATAAAGGGCGAGTTCCTTCGATTGTAGGCAAGAAAAGGGGTAAACAGGAAGGTTCGTGATTTCTCTTGGTGTGGTGCTTAAGATAGAGAACGTTTTATATATGGGGTTTTTGATTGATTAAAGATTTGATTTTTCTTTTGTTTTGTTTGGGGAAAATGTGAATTCATGTAAAAGTAAACCGAGGAATATGTTGGGGTAAGAGCTTGGATAAGAATTGAAATTAATTAATAATTCATCTAATCAAGACCCCTAGTTTCTCTTTTTTAATCATATTTAAACTTTGGGAAAACTTTTCCATGTGACATATTATGAATATTTATGATATCGAATATAATTTTTTAAATAGTTTATATATTTAAATTTATATTTTTTTTTGTCTATAAAAGAATTTAAAGTTTTAATTTTAAATTGATGGACATATATATATGTGTCAGTACTGAAACCCTTTAGCATATTGAAAATATTTATTTATCATTGATTAAACAAACACAATATCAAATCTTTTATGGAAATGCGCAACTTGTTGGTTAAAATTCGTGAAAAATAAATGGTCTTGATGGTTGCTTACGTGGTATTTCATTTTAATAGCACCGACCATCTTTTGATGCCACATCACACAGAAAAAAATTATTTTTTTTATGTATAATACTTTTCGTACTAATTTTTTTGTTCTAAAATAAGAACATTGATTTAATTTTTGTCCACTTACCCAACAGCCTTCTTTGGTCGTGTTGCTTTCTTATTAAATGTTATATGATTAATTTGATGCTTAAATAAATTATTTTCAAAAAATAATTAAAAATAGAAAGATATTATGAAAAATGAAACAGCAAACCAAATGATAGTAATTAAAAGTCAAAGTCTATTTTGGAAAAGTATTTTAATTACTTTGTTTATTACGTCAGCATTATGTATTAAGAATAAAACATACTTAAAGTTTGGTACTTTGGTACCAAACGACTCAAACTCTATTTCCACTTTGTTATCCGAATATCAAAAGCTTTAAGTCTAGTGGTATTAAAGACTTTTAGTTTAATAGTATTTGATGTTGTTTTTTGTTTTTGATATTGATGGTTCTAAGTAGTGGTGGACCGTCTTAGGGGCTAGGGGAGGTCTTAGGGGCTAGGGGAGGTCATGACCTTCACGCTTTAGGTTTCCTTATACCAGTAATTACATAGTTTGATAACCATGTTGAAAAAAAAAAATTCTAAACTGACATCCTTGCCCCTCCCCCCGACTTCCATATAATGTGAACATAAATTGATAAACTAGTTACAAATTTTTCGAAAGATCTTTAACAAAATCAAAACCATCCTTGAGCCTTGTTTCTTTACGATTCTTTAAAATAAGGAAACTTAATATCTATTAAAATCTATAAAAACCCACGATCTAATCAAAATTACAACAGTATAACCAAAGTTTGAGTTTAAGAAACTGAAAAGAGTAAACCTAAAATCCTAAGTTTATCCCCGCCGTTAGAAAACTATTTCTTGAAACTCACAGGAAGAAACACCACCCATTAAGGTCGTTGCTATTTTGTGCCTTTTTCTGGTCGCCAGATTTTTCACCGTACTCGGGATAGTCGCCGGAGCCTCCTCTTTGCTAGTCGTCGGAGCTTGGACCGTTGACTGTTGAGACGTAATCTCTACCGTGTGATTAAGTGCTCCGCTGATTTGGTCTTCGTTTCTCACTTCTCTTGTCAGGTTAGTAGTTTTGCTTCTCCGCCTTTTTTTTTTTTTTTTTTTTGTATCTCTGTTGGCCGTTTGCTTTCTTTTTGTTTATATTTATATTGGTTACTTTTATTGTTGTTTCCCTACACTAGTCACCGTGACAGTAATAGTCAGTAAAGTAGAAATTGTGGTATGTGATTTTGACAACACACTCCACATATCTGCCATACATGTATATTTTACTTTTACCAAAGGGCTTATAGCCCAACGGTATCAGGTGGTACCGAACTTCTTTAAGGTCGAGGGTTCAAGTCCCGTCGTGAACATATGTGAAATAATTGTTGTTAGCTTAGGAGTAAATTAGATTTGCTGGTTAAAAAAATGTATATTTTACTTTAACTTTATTATATTAGTTTATTATTAATACAATTATTGTTTTATTTTGCATATAAAATCATAAATGTGGATAACATACGTTTGAATTAATAAAATTATTTGGAATTATTGATTATTCGAATGTTCTTTTTAAATTAAAAAACTTCATTTGTTTATTGTTATTTTATCTTGATATTTGTTGATTGTTAGTAATGTTGGTTGCGTCGTTGATATCAACATGAAAAAACAATCAACTATTGATGAGTTTTTTAAAAGAAAACATACAAGTTTTGCTCAAGATTCAGAGAAGTCACCGGAGTTGTTGCATTATAAAAGTTTTTTACTCGATTATCTTTAGTTATCAATGTTGTTGGTGTTTCCTCTAAGCGTGTCGACCAACTTAGAGTTGCACAAGCCGTAGAAATTGCATATAAGATTTCTATTGATGAGTTAGAGACAGATAGAGGTCTTAATCAAATTGGTACATTACAACGAGTTCGTGATACTAGATGGAGTTCTCACCTTAAATCAGTTTCGAGCTTAATCAAAATATTTAGTCCAACTTGTAAGGTTTTACTTAAAATTATTGAAGATGGCACCGGTTCAATCAAAGGCGACGCAGATTCAGCATATGAGACTATTACTACATTTGAGTTCATTTTTGTTCTTCATCTCGAGAAAGAATTAATGGAGATCACTTATTTACTTTACCAAGCTTTACAAAGACAATCTCAAGATATTTGTAATGCATTGAGGCTAGTTGCATCTACCAAATTGTTATTACAAAAAATGAAGGATGAAAGATGGGATGGGTTGCTCTCTCTCTTGTTATGTTATTTTGTCAGGAATGCAATATTGATATCTCTTATATGTCTTCTCCATACTTTAGTAGAGGGGCTCGAGCTCGTAATGAGCATAGTGATCATACACTTAAACATCATTACCGAGTGAATATATTTTACGAAGCGATTAATTATCAAATAATGGAACTAAATCATCGATTCAGCGATAGATCTACGGAGTTGCTTCGACTTTCAACAACTTTAGATCCTAAAAGTGTTGATGAGCCTTTTCGAAGTGGTGATATAATTGAGTTAGTAGAGAAGTTTTATCCTGAAGATTTCAATGAACAATAAAAAATATTTTGAAGATTCAACTTCAACATTATGAGGTTGATGTTGTTCAACATGCAAATTATAAACTATTGACATCTATGTCAGAATTGTGTCAATGGTTGATAAAGACTAGAAGAGTAGCAAACTTTCATCTTATTTATTGAGTAGCTAGTCTCATACTTACTCTTCCAGTCTCTACTGCTACAACAGAGAGATCATTTTTAGCTATGAACCTCATTAAAACAAGGTTACGGAATAAGATGGAAGACGAGTTTTTGAATGACTCATTAGTTTTGCACTTTGAAATGAAACTTGCTGAAAAGATTAGTTTAGAAATAGTTGTAGAAGACTTTAAAAAAGCAAAAGTTCGTAGCGTTCCACTTTGATAAAAAAAAATGTAATAGTCTATTAGTTTTCTTGTTTACACTTCTAATATGTTAAATTTTTGAACCAAATAAAACTTGTTTATATAGTTTAATTATAAAGTTTTGATTTCGCCCCCTAATTGTAGTGCTTGTGTTCCGTCCATGGTTCTAAGTCTCCTCGTAAACATATATAAAATTAAAGAATAGTCGATGAATAGATTAGATTTCCGTTAAAAAAAATTAAGTAAATTTCCATATAAAATAAGGTTTTTAGTGATATTATGATCATGATAAACTTGGTTTGGTCTAAAAAGGAAATAGAGAAACCATCATGACCAAAACTGGGATACAAATAGTGGCGGATTGAGAATTTTGATTGGTTAGGGGCACACTAAAATTCAAACATAATTTTTTGTTAAGTCAAAACAATTTTAAGTACCAATAACAAGAAAATGTTAAATTATAAGAAAAAAAATTAAATTACATACTGTAATTATCTTTAGTATTTATCATCTTTTGGGAACGATCAATCGCATAATATTCGTTTGTCTTTTTTTCAACATAATCAAATTAGAAATTAAGTTTATAATATTAAAAATTAAAAAATTAAAAACTAAAAACTAATTAAAAAATTATCTAGAAAAAAAACAAGACAAATAAAATTACTTTGGAGAATACAAAGTTAGAAATTTCGGTTGTTTTTAATATATATATATATATATATATATATATATATATATAATATATATATATATATATATATAAAGAGAGAGAGAGAGAGAGAGAGGTGTGTTCAATTGAGAAAATAAAAAAGGTTGAGCATGGGGGAATCATTCTCAGCCACTCATTTAATTAGCCTCTAAACATAAAGGACATTGTGACAAACTTGTAAATATGATATAATAGCTTTCAATCACAAATACGAACAGCTGAAATTCATTCGTTTTTTGTTCTTTCAATCCAACCTTCAATTCTCATTGAATACGAACATATCTTCAACATCTACGATTAATTATACTCCTAACATCATTAGAACAACATCATAGATAATCAACAAAAAATTCAATTTGTGTTATTCATTCAACATCGTTCATCAAATAAAACATCGAAATTAAGGTTAGAAAAAGATCAAATCATTTTTTGTTTGAAATTTTCATATATTATTTTACCAATCTACTATTTTGTAAGATTTAGATAGTTAAAGTATCATATTTATCACATTTTAAAAAAAGTTAACTTGTATGCACTCCAACTGTTTGATGAAATGCATAAACTAAATTACCACGTTATATTCACATATGAATATGTTTTCTCACCTGAATCAATATATGATTATTAAAATACAAAACAAATATGCAAGTCTGTATGTTATTCATATGTGAATAACATATAAAAATTATATATATTTCTGAAAACACATTGTAATATTCATATATGAATATACTAATTATTATTAATAAGTGAATATACGATCTAATATTCACAAGTGAATATATTATGTATTATTCTCATGTGATATACCATGTAATACTATATAATATTCACATATGAAAATATAATATAATATTCATAAATGAATATATCATCTAACATTCACAAGTGAATATACTATGTAATATTTACAAGTAAATGCATCGTCTAATACTAAAATATAAATATAATATGTTTAGTATATGCTATATTTATACATGAATGATACTGAAATTGTAAAAAAAAAAAAAAAAAACTTAATCATAGTTTTTATTCAT